TGGAAAACAATAGTCTAAAAGCTGTAACACTGAGACCTGCATATGGTGTACAGGGATCAACCGTCCTGCCAGACCTGCTGTGATACAGGTCTGAGGGATGCATTTCACTGGCAGCACAGATCCTGCTTTTGGCTGTCTGGGGGGCTCTGTAAAGCTCCTGGCACTGGGACCAAGCCTGGTTCTGACTCCTGCCCAGGGGCTGGGATCTTTCCTGCTGTTTTACAGAGCATTTTGAGGAAAGAAGCGTTACAACTTGCTCCCCTTTTGCGACACGTAACAGCTGCGTGCTGAGCAAAAGCCATGGCTGCCTGTGAGACCTTTGCTTTAAAATGTTATTTTTATTTATTTGTCTTTAAATTTTCAGAATGTAGGTGTGAATAGGTCGAGAGAAGAAGCTTTGAGGACAGTCCCCACCCACCTATAGCTGCAGCTTCTGGGGCGGCAGCCCTTCCTCCAGCAGCTCAGGGCCCGGCGGTGTCGGAGCGGGGCGGGATGGACGTGCCTCCCCTTCCCTTGGAGACATTTCGAATGTGATTCCACTTCTTTGGACAAAACCTGTGCTCGTGGATAACTCAAAAGGTATCAGTGAAAAGATTGTGGGAAGCAGAGCAGAGTTGGTTTTAGATTTTTCTTATGTAAATTTGTGCAGTTTCGGTGGGTTTTTACTGTTCGTCCGTGGATAATGCAAGGTGGTTAATTGCCCGTGTTGATTTTACTGTCAGATTTTAACTAGATTTTATTTTCTTTTGTAAGTGTTTTTTCAGAGAGTGCTCTTATTTTTACTGTGAATGATTGCCTAGAATTACATGGAGTTTTTTTGATGGTGTATCTAACCTGGGCAAAATTCTGCATTTTGAGCACTGGAGGCTTCATGTTGCAAAGCTGCTTTAAATGGGGAAGCCCATCAGCTCTGATAATTGTCCTGTGTTTTAAATTGAACTTTGGTTTGCCAGCCACAACTTCAGATTTTTCTGAAATTCACAAGGGAGATGTTCCCTTTGGAAAAATCAAAGCATTAAAGCTGGATTTGCTGCCTGGGAAATTCTGCTGTTTTAGCAAGATTTTAACAGTTTCCAGAGAGCAGGTGTATTTTGGAGGGCAGTGGGAGACATGAGTGTGAGTGACAGCTGAGGAATGAATCAAGAGATGGAGAGAGTCACATCCTTTCTGCTGCAGTTATGGGAGGGGATGAGCAGCTTCTCTGAACCTGGAAGGGAGGGGAAAAGGATTCAGCCTGTCAAGGGCTGGAAAAGCTGCTTGTCTTGCTAGTGTTGTCATTATATTTTTAGAGAACTTTTGGAATGAATTTCAACATAATAGTATATGTTTCTCTTTTATAGCCACATTTAATACCTACATCAGGAAACAGTACAGAAAGGTTAGGTGAGTTTAACCATTCTAACAGCTCATGCAACAAAAACACCAGGTAAATGCTGAAATAATTTTTAACATGGCACACTTGCCTTGGGGTTTTTTGTTTTGTTTTTAAGCACTTTCCATCATCCCAGTTCTTCATTGCTCTTTTACACCTAGTGAAACTCCAGTGCTAAAAATGGAATTTTCTGTCTGTCAAGGTCACAACCTTTTAACTGTACTAAATCAAAGTGTATTTTGTATGTGTGTTACCAGACAACTGAAGTGAGCTGCCAGCACTGCTGCTGGCTCTAGCTCTGAAATGAGGAGAAACTATTCTTTGGTAGCTGGACTGTTTTTTTCTAAAGATTCTCTCCAATTAATTGAGCTTTTACCATGTGAGTTGTTGGGGTTGTTTTGTTGTTTTGGTTTTTTTTTCTTTCCTGAATTCCTGTGTGAAATACCAGGCCCTGGTAACATAGTTTTGCAGGCAAGGGCTAAATTGTCTTTTGTTTGTGCAGGGTTTATACAATAATGTGCTGCTGTTGTGTTTTTTGTTGTTTGTTTTTTTTTTTAATAAGCTAAATTCAGCAATATATTCAGCTTTGGAAGTAAGCCATAGTGCATTGCTGGGTTCTGTTTCAGAGGAGGAATGTGGAGGGTGCAGAATGACCAGGAACACTTTGCTTCAAGCGCTGCTGTCTAAAGCTTTGTGTGTGTGTGTGTTATGGTAATGCCATTTCAGACCTTTATTAATTCAGCTGTGTCCATAATTGTGGGGTGAGGAGAGAAGCCTGCCTGGCACTGCTCAGAGAAGTGCATTTATTGAGGTGTGGTTAACAAGGCCACCTTTGTAGCACAACTGAAGGAGCAATTTCCCCTCCCACTGTGATGTGGGAAAGCAGGGCTGTGCTCCAGGCAGCCCTCGCTCCTCTGCTGGGACAGGAGGGGTGGTTAAACAGTTTTTACACTGAGAATGTCAGGATTTATCTGTAAAAATCCCAGGAGGCTGCATTAGAGAAGTGGATTTTACTGGCAGACTGTGAGCTTAGACCTGGCTGAAGAAATGTGGGCAGAAATGCTTCCCTCAGTGAAAGCTGAGCCCAGGGGCTGCTTCTCTTTGCTGACAAGCACGGCTTGAAGTGTTTCCTCTGCCCCTTTGTTTTACCTCTCTGATCTGTCAGAGGTTCTGTAACATCCTTGAGGCTACAATGTTCTATGTACAGTAGGTATTTTTATAGCCTGCTTTCAAATATACTGTGATGAGTGTTTTACTGCAATGGGTGTTCAGTAAAAAGAGTTGTATACAAGTGTAAATAAACTACTGTGCTGATACTTGAAGAGGAAAAAAAAAATAAAAAGTTGTTGGTTCTAGGGTAGGAAGGTACTAAATCAGTGACTGCATCTGACGCTGGCTGGAGAGAGCAGGTGTGGATGATGAATGTAGATTTGAGCTGAATGTAGATTTGGAGTGATGGGTTCTCCCAGGCTGTAATCCTAACTGCTGTTCTGGGAAGGCACAGTTAAGAATTGCCATTAATTGTCACTTTCTAAAAGTGTGTGTCCCCCAGTCCTGACAGAACAGTCACTGCCAGGGGAAGGGAAAACCCTTGTCCTGACCTTTGTGTTTGTACCATTTGACTGCCTGTGTTCTGTGTGTGCCTGGCTCAGATACAGTCTCTCAAATGGGATTAAACCATCCTTTCTTACATTGTTGGCCTTTGTTGTGATCTTTCAGACAAATGTAATCATTTGACCTTTGATCCAAGTAATAAAGATCAAATGCTACAAGGTGCACTGATGTGTGTTTCTTTCCATGTCTATTTCCAGTGGCTGAAGTGCCAGGTGAGTGTCCCTGAGCCTCAGCAGGGTTCCACAGCTTCCACAAGCTGGGTTTAGGGAGCTTAGGTATCAATGTAAGGGCTAAACTAGTTCACCCTCTGGTTGCTTTACTGTGACAAAGTTGAATCCTACTGATTCAAGTAGGAAACTCAATAATGGAGGAAGAAGTTGGAAGATTAAATAAAAGCATACCAGGATTGCAGGTGGAGGAGAAAGGTAAGACTTTATTAACTTTACCTGGTCACTGGGATTAAGATCTGCTCCACCCTCTCAGACCTACACTGTTCTTACATTTTCTTGAACATGCTGCTGGTGTTTGGAAAAGCTGAAAACCAACGGCCAAATGCTGCCTGTCAGTACAAGTTTGTATGCAGAGGGGGGAGCTGGAGGGCATTAAATTTGCAAGGGTACTTAGCCTTCAGAATGACAAGGACAAAATTAATTACTGCTTTGTGCTTCTAGAATTATGTACTCACATTTTTATGTCTTGCTGATTGCAGCCCCCCAGGTGGTAACCACTTGTTTCTTCTCTGCTAGGTGAGGAGTGTTTTCATAATTTTTTAATTCTACTGTGTATTTCTGTTTGGGGAGCAGGTAACTTCTTTGTTTTAGAGTTTTTAGGCTGCTTTCTGAACAAAATCCTTTAATAGCTGAAACTTCCTGTAGTATGAGGATGATCCAGAGCTGAGGGTGAGTGAGCCCAGATGGTGCTCACAGGTGGCCCTGGGGTGCAGCAGTTCTGCAGAGGAGGTGGAGGAGCTGCCCCAGGCTGTGGAGCTTTTGTGCCTGTGCTGCCAGGAGGTGTCAGTGGTGCAGGGCAGGGCCCTGTGCAGGGGCTCACAGGACAGGGCTCCTGTGGAGGAGGGCTGGAGGAGCTGCTCTGCAGAGGAAAGGGAATTGTGCCCCTGTGTTGTGAGTGCAGTCAGGCACAGCTGTGGCAGCAGGAGGTGCTCCTGATACCTCAGGTGCCAGCTGAAGGAGCTGCTGTATGAAGCCTCTTGAGCAGATCTGGCACTTGTGACTCCAGAACAAAGCAGGTGAGCACAGGGAGCCAGCATTCCCACAAGGAATACTTAATACTACTTAAAATTTGTAACAGCTTCCCACTGCTGCTGGCACACACATTTGTAACTTCTTACCTAGAAATGTGTATCTGCCTGGGTGAAAGGGCCCAGCTCTCACCCTGGAAAGCAGAATCACGTTCTGGTGAAAAATGGCCAACCAGAAGTGACTCTGTAGCTTTTGAGAATGGGAAAAGCTCAGGTTCCTGCTCTCCTCCCTGCAGCACCTCGCAGGGCACTGCTTGTTCCCCTTGGACTGGGGTAGGTAAACCACGCCAGCCCCAGCTGTTTGGAAATGCCAGCTGTGTTCTGCCCCTTCCAGCCTCAGTCTGGCATCTGAGTCATGCTGGCATTACCTGAGTTACCACAAGAAGCTAGAGCTGTTCTTAAGGAGCAGAACAAAGGCAGCAGTCTATTTTGTTTTTGAGTCTCTACAAAGTATTACAGCTTTCTGCTGCTCTTGCAGCAGGATTAACAGTCTGAAACTACCCTGAGCCTCCAGGGTGCTCCTAAGAGTTCTGTAGCATTCCATAAGTCTTGGGTGAACTGACACTTGTACATTTTTTTCTGCCTGCTCAGTGTTGAGAAAATCAAATAATTTGTAATGTTTTGCAAAGTGTTACAAGATACAGAAAACGTTGCTTCAGCCTGAATTTTATGAGCTGACTGCAAGGTGAAGGTTTGGGAAGGAGCTTTGCAGCAATTACATTAGTTTTTCTTTATCACTAATGGCTAAAAATCAAAATTCAGAAGTAGTTGTTGCAAGAAAGCAGGATCTGGAGCAGGAGGAACACAGCTGCTGTGTTACAAACAAGCAAGTAAAACTGGAAGAAGGATTTTGTGTTTGGCAGTTACACAGAATAATTCCTCAGGAAGAGCAGACAAGTAACGCTGCAGTCATGACCTGGGCTCTGTCCTGCTGTGACTGTTGTGGCTCTGAGCAGGAAGTGGCATTTAGTGGCAGAACCTCACATTCCCAGGCAGGATCAAGCTGCTCTGGGATGCTGAGGCCTCCTTGTCTCATACTTGGACTGCCTTGGAATAAATATGCAGCATTTTTTCAGCAAAAGCACCCCTGAGCAGTTTCCCACAGCAGCTGGTGTCACACAAGGAATCTCTGCTTTTGCCTGACACTTCCTTTTGTTTAATTCACAAAAACAACAAATATTTTAAGAAAGTGATCAGGGCTGACCAAGCATTATTGTTTACTGTAGTTTAAAGACAACTTGAGTTAAATTGTATATAGTTAAAAATCATAGAGCCATGAATGAAAGTTACATTAAATAAAAGAACCAAAGGGCTCAAATACATTTTAAAAAGACATCTTCTGTTCCCCAATGTCTTCTCTCGAGCAAAATATACAGCACACACATATATATATAACATAACTACATTCAAGTACCAAACAGAATTTACATTTTCCCAAACAGAGAAAATAATGCACATGATTCACATACCTTAAACCCAACCATGCATAGAAACACTGCCAATAAATCAGGAGTTGAACACAATTCTTCACACTACCGTGTATAATTCTGAAGTATCGACGTTGTTGGGATGCATTAACACTTGGGAGTCTGGGTTTGTAAAGTGTAACCCTTCATTAAAGTCCAGCTGGCCAGAGACTTACTTGTTCAAGATCTGTTCAAATTTTGGGTTAATAAAAGAAAATCCATCAAATGCAGACTGATCCATGGACTCAATCAGGTTTTTGTCACTGTAAGACAGTTTTGGCTTCTCGCTCAGAAATTCTCTGTCAAAGTTGTTGTAGTCACTTGCTGATTTCTGTGGTAGAGAGGGAAGCAGTTTGAGACAAACTTTGTCATTTTCTTTTAGAACAAATTAAATACAAAATGTTGGGAAGTTAGTCTTTTAGCTCCCTCCCTCCTTCCCCTGCTTTAGAGAGTGAAAAAAAAAAAATCTCATTTCAACCTATTTTAAAAAGACTAAGATTATAACTGGGCACTTTCTTAGTGTTAGTTGGAAAGCAACAGAAAAACCAAATGCAAGTTGCTTTGGAGAAGAACCAACTGGATTTGAGATTACACTGGGTTACCCAAAGATCATCTGTTGACAAAAGCAATGCAGCATTAATTTACACATCAGACCAACATTTCTTGCTATATTAACCAAAATGTTTTAATTCCTGAGAACATTTTACAAGTTGTACTTGTTCAGAGAATAAAGCAATGCCCTATAGCAGCTGTTTTGTGTTTCATAAATATTCATGTAACTAGAAACTGTTTTACACTCTGAACCACGAAAGATTTGTTTATAGGGTCCTTATGTTCCCAGATTTCCCACTTTTCTGAGAACAAGCAACACAAAACCTTGTGTGTTGGAAGGGGACAGCTCTCCACAGAGCAGATTTTAAAAAGACTTGCCTCCAGACCATTTCACCTGTTCTAGTAAGAGGCTGGAGAAACAGTGGTTTGGATTTTTAACCAGGTGAGCTGAAGCAGCAGCATCCACTGTGATACAGACTGAGTTACAGTCTGTTGTGTAGGTGTTTTTTCAGGTAACATGAGGCATGTACATTAATTCCAAGTTCAGTGGCTTAGAGAATGCTGCTGCTTTCTGCCCTTGGAGATGCCTGGGTGAGTTTGAAGCAGCAGAGATATAATGCTTGCAGAGTCCCTGCAGTCAGGGAGCAGCCTGGAGCTACTGCTGCTCCCATGTGGCATTTCAGAAAAACAAACTGCAAGGAACTGTGAACATTCTGACACAGAGGGGAATGGAGATTAAAGCTTTCTGTTGGTTTTCCTGAACATTCTAAAGAAGCTCCTCGAGAGCACTGGGAAGACAATCTGCACAGGAAGATCTCAGGGCAGTCAAAGGAGTACAGTGCACCTGTGCAGAAGTGAACCATCCAAGAACAGTGGGCTTACAGATACACAACTTTCTCATGTGTAAAATGTGAGGAGAGAATGGCAGTAGGATCCTTTGTGCAGGCACAGAAGCCCTTACCCTGGGCTGCTGTTTGCTAAAAACAAAGAACAACCCACATACCACTTTTGGCCTGAAGGGAGGGTCCACCTCCCTCTTCTCTAGCGCTGTCCAGTTAATTGTTTTGAAGAAAGGATGGTCTCTGATATTCCCAGTGACCCCAAGTCGTTTTGCTGGATCCCTTTCAAAGAGCTGCAAGAGAAGACACCCAGCAGAGCATTAGAACTGCTCCAAAGGTGCACAGCTGTGGAAGAATTACAGGTATGATGCTAAAACAACTAAGGGTGCTGACAGCAAACAGAGCATTAGGAATCTGACCTGGCTTTCTCTTTGTAAGAGCAATCTGCTGATAAACAGCTCTTTTATTAGGAGATTTGTCTCTCCCTGCACAGAGACATGACCCCAAGCTGATCATCAGTCCTACCTTTTCTAATATATCCTTTGATTCCTTGGTAATCCAGCGTGGGTAGTGAGGGGTGTCCACTCGGATTGACTCAAACAGTTCATCTTCATCATCCCCATGGAAAGGGGACTGGCCAATCAGCATCTCATACAGCAGCACCCCAAACGACCACCAGTCCACAGAGAACGTGTAGCGCAAACCCTGCAGGATCTTGGGCCACACAGGAGGGAATACAGGTAAGAGGTCAGAAGCAGCAATACATCCCAAAAACCAGGAGAGGTATTTGAAGAGAGAATCTTTAATGACTAGAGCACTTAGGGGAAAAGTAAAAATCCATCTCTCTGAGAAATTGTGGACAATGAGGCAGAGCTGTGGTTTTACCCTAGGCTGCTGTTGGTGGGAATGTGGCCAGCTCCATGGACAGCTCTTTGCTCTCCTTCAGAAATTTTCTCCCTTAACTTTAAGTAATCATAGACTTAAAAAACATCTTCTCTAGTTTCTTTACAAGATGAAGGGACAAGCAAGTAGTTATGCAAAGTAGATTCATAAAAAAGTCTTTGACATAATTTGTAACTTTAAAAGTCAAATACCATAGTTGAGCTGCTTTGCAAATGAGATTAAAAAAAAAATAACTGTAACACACAGAATTAAACTCTCTGAGATTCCACTTAAAAGCTCCTCTTGTTTTGAATTCTGGTTGGTTGCACAGGGACAAGTCTGTCCTCCATCTGCAGTGCACATACACAGATTCATTTTGCAGGAGCCTCATGGGTGTGCTGGCTACACCTAACCCCTAGCTCTCAAAAAACTGAGCATTTTAACTTTCCAAACCCATTTCTTTAAACTTACAGAGCATTTTAAAATCTCAAGTACTCTCTATAAAAAAGCACAATTTCTTTCTCTGATTTCTACCTCTAATTAGACTGGACTTTCCTGAACTATCAGTCTACAAAGAGGTGATTAATCATAGCAGCTCTTGTACCATCAGGGCACTAAATCCCTGCCAGCAGTGTCTGTGCGGGCCATACTGACCTCGGGAGCGATGTAGTCAGGGGTCCCACAGAAGGTGCTCGCCTTGTTGTCACCAACAACGTTTTCTTTGCACATTCCAAAATCAGCTATTTTGATGTGGCCTTCTTTATCAAGCATCACATTGTCCAGTTTTAGGTCTCTGCAAGAAGTATTTTAAAAATGTTGTGCTTTAAGTGGTTTTTGTAATTAGATGCACACAGTTTATTTACTGATAAACACCTCTCCAACTGCATATACAGAGGCTTTTCAAGAAAATAATCATCCATCAACATAATCCATCCAAAATGGTACTTCTTTGTGCTTTGAAAGCATGAGGGACAAGGGAAGAATTCTCTCCTGTTAAAGAAAATAAGAGGCTGAGGTGTACATATAGAATGTGACCTTATAATTGTCCACATTTGCTTTCAGATCCAGAAGCACAGCCAGAGCTTCTGTTGCTGCTGGAAGGCAGCGTGAGTTAATGCCCCAGCAGCTGACACAGCAGTGCTGCACCAGCTCCAGGGCTCAAAAGAAGGATTGTGTTGGGTTCTGAGAGCCTTTGGCAGGAATTTGATTGTCTGACACTTGCCCAGCTCTTAACACTACCTGTGACTTGCTCCTGGTTACAGCCCAAGTTCACGTGGCATGGCCTGTGAGGGGTCCAATTCATGTCTTTTCTCAGAACAACACTATTCAACCAAGAAAGAGCTTTTTTCCCAGCAGTTTCCAAAAGCTACATTCCCTCCCTTTGACCATGCTGCATTTTTTGTCCATCTGGCTGCAAATGCACATACCAAGGAGGGCAGGCTGAAGAGAAACTGAACAGCCCTCTGCTTACCAAGGGCTGAAATAGAGCAGAGAATTTCACATAAGAGCAGGGCACTCCTTTCTCCTGGGTAACTGAAGTTCCCAGTACCAGCAGTGGACCACGGTCTGGCCCTTGATGCTTCAACCTGGTGAGGCAGAAGCATCAATGTGGTTTCATCAGAAGGCAAAAGCAGGGAACTTCACCTTGGTGGTTTGCTCAAGGAGCCTCTCCCTGACCTCCACACTAAATAGATTCTTGATTGGAAGGCAGTGTTTGAAAATAACTGAAACAAGACTTCTTTTGTGTAGCACAAATCCCATTCCATCATTCCAGTTGCCAAGGAAAAAACTACACAAATAGAGATTTATCTCAGGCATGTTAATGGCCTTGGAACTACCTCAGATCTCTGACAGACAGCTTGTGCTTTCTAGATCAGTCAGGAATCCAAAGATGCATGAAGTGCTAAGACAATTCCCAGGTCCCAGCCTGGAGCTAGCTGGTACTCACCTATAAATAATGCCTTTGCTGTGAAGAAACTGAAGCCCACATAAAATTTCAGCTCCGTAAAACCTGAAAAGACCAAAACATCTTTTAATCTTTGCTCAGTTATAACAGTCAATGCAGGTAGCCAAAATAATGCTGTGGGCATCCTTTCATGGAGTGAGAAGCACTGTACACATCTTTTAAATCCCAGTATCTCTGTGTTCATGCAGCCAGCTGCTGTAACCTGCAAGTTAATCCCTTCACCACACATCGGCAGTGTCCAACACCAAACAGCAGAGGGGACACAGCAGCAGCTGCTGTAATGCTCAGCACTATCAGGGAACACCATCCCTTTCCTCCTCTTTACTAACACAGTCTTGGTGTAGTTTTAGTGACAGGCACGTGCCTTTTGAAAGGGAGCTACTGGGAGCTCAGCCCTCCAGAATTGCTGCAGGAGGGACTGGGCACCAGTGGCAAGGTTAGAATTGGGCCTCACCTGTCTCCCTCTGCACCTGCCTGGTCACAACAGACAGACTGAAAAAGGCCATCACTTCAGGTGATAATCTTGGGGACATGAAGGAAAATCTGAAAGAATGCTTCCCTCTGCCCCAAAAAGCATAATTTATTTTTTTTTAATTGGAAAAATACAAAACTATTTCCATTTCTGTATGGCAGATGAATGTTGGTCCAAAACAAATAGGCACAGAATGTACCCAGAGAGGATGCCAGAGGCACAGATGTTTGCTGGGATGCAGGTAAGCTGGAGGGGCTTTATCCACATTTTTGCTGGGGAGAGTAGGAAGGGAGTGACCTATACAACTTTCTTGTGATCCCATCCAGTCAGCAATCCTTACTGGCACTGCACTAACAGAGATAATTTTTCTGGGGCTTACAGATAGGTCCAGTACTCTGCACTGTTACTTTTCAAGGTTTACATGCCACCGCTTTGATGATGCCGTTAAAACACCCATGGGTTTGGATGACAGAAGTAGAAACTGACCTCAAACTGAAAATGATAGCTAAAGTAACAATAATACAATAGTTTTGTATCCTTTAACGATCACTGGAGCTGAAAGCTTGAGTCACAGATGACTGACACAAGTGCACTTACTAAACAAAGTGCTTACCCATTTAATTAGCATCTCATGGAATGTACAGTTTTTTGTATTATCATGTCAATTTAGCAATAGCAGGAAGTGTTCAACTTCTTTCCCCCATGCTGTTTTCCATCAGAATACTCTCCTAAAGTACACTGAAGCTGTGCCTTTTTCTTTTCAGTGCTGGCTCATGTTTCAGTTTATTTTGCACCTCTAGGAACAAGCATCCCATGAAGTACAACATCACACTGTTACGTAAATTAAGAAAGCCCAACTCCACAGATCATTAAGTGAACTTCATTGTATTCAACCTAGAAACATCTTTTCAACCATCAGCCATTGAAACTTGACTGCAGGTAAGAACTAGAAGCCATAAACCCTGAGATAAAATCATTCCTGGAGGTGGGGAATGAGAGGTTGAGGACTCACGTTGCTCTGTAGAGGTCGAAACGCCCCTTGTCTTGGATGTGGAACATCAGGTCTCCCCCATTCAGGAACTCCATAACGAAGAACAAATGATCCTTTTGCAAGATAACCAGGGAATTAAACAATTACTGATGCTATCCAACCAGAAAAAGTAGCAATGTGCCTCCAGGGCACCAAGCTTCCGCTTCCCTCTTCTGAAGGATTTTTGGTTTCATGCACCACTATGAGGCTCCTACAGAATTGAGTGGCCTGGTCTTGTAAATATAAATATCTGGTCTTGTATTCTGTGGGTTTCTAGACTTCACACACACTTAAGCAGACTTCCTGACTTCAATCTGTGACAGTCATCCTTTTCCCCTCACCAAGTGCAAAGCTCAGATCAAGGACTTAAACTCCTTCTTGTTCCAGGCAGCATAGATGTTTTTCTGATTTTATTCTGTCCTTACCAAGATATGTTTGGTCATCCTCACACTTACTTTCCACTAGGCCCGTAAATTATTGCACAGAGCACAGGAAAAAGACATTTAATTCTTGCATCACTAAATTACTTTCAATTGACTGCTGCTATCAGCACCATTAAAAGGCTCAATCTGTTGCGTTGCTGTCACCACTGAAATTTTTCTTACCTTTGTCTGAAATGTGCAGTAAAGATGTGTGAGAAATGGATTTTCCCAGGCAAGAGCAAGAACCCTCTTTTCCACCATGGTACATTCCACATCATCATCAATTAGCACCACGTCCTTTTTCAGAGCTTTGATAGCAAAGAATTCATTCTTCCCTTTCAGCTCAGCAAGCAGAACCTACAAAACATAAAAGATAAGAGTACAGCATGCGTAGGAAAGAGTGGTGCTGATGTACCAGTGAGGGAAAGCCAAAGGTGTTCACAGCAGGTGCACTGACAATTACAAAACGTTTAAATGAGAAAGATGAGGGAGGGTTGGGAAGGTGAAGCTGCTGGACACAGATGAGGAGATGGGGTACCACAGGCACAGCAGTTTCTCTGTCCATGTCTTGTGAGAGTTTAAACAGCAGGCATGCAAAGCCTGGTCTGTCACTAGAGCTGCAGTTTCAGAGACAGCAGTGGACAGAGCCCGTGGGGGGCCCACTGCTCTCCCAAACATCCCCTGCCACTGCACTGGGGATGCTTCTGTGTGGAGGGAACAGAACTAAAATATACATTTGCACTGGGTGCATTAAAGGGCAATTCCTCTGCCCCAATACTAAACACTGACAAACTGCTGTGCACAATGAATCACTTTTGGGTTTACATGAGATCCAGCTGATGAATTTCTAGTGCCTTTGACAAAGCTGTCTATGTACAATTCTGTCAGAAGATTACTGACCCAAGAAGCTGTGAGACCTTTCTGCTTAAGGAAACAGCCCATCACATTGCAGAGATCAAGTGAGGCAGACACCTTAGCTCTCAGTTTGTCACATACCTTCCCAAAGCTGCCTTTCCCCAGCACTTTGTGGAAGACAAAGCTGTCTATGTTGAATTTTCTCCTTGCAGCTCTTGGCACTGGCTTGGTTGCGTTTACCTCCCAGAGCTTATCATACTCGCTGTTATCTGCTGGTCAAAACAGGGAGGGGAAACTTCAGTGGATGCAGAAACACTGCAGGACTCAGAGCCCTGGATAAGAAATAGGTACTGACAGGGTTTTTCCAGTGCATCTGCTGCTGGAATTACTGGTGAACATAAACATAAGGGACAAGTCCTGTGTAAGCATTTTGTGTGGCCAGGAGATGGTAAAAAGAAATACATCCTGGCTTTTTTAGCAGCATTTATTAAAAAAATTGTCTAACACAAGGCAAGAATGAATAACTTCTTAAATTGTCTGGTAGGTAAGTGGCTGTATTGAAACATTATCTGCTTTCTCACCTGTTGTGTCTCCTCCTGGAGCTTTATGTTTCTTATCAAAATCTTGATAAATACCAACACTTTCTACAGATCCAGAATCAGATCTTCGTGTAGATTTCTGGGAAGAAGGGGAATATTTGACATTATATTAGCAGTGTTACTTTAGAAATAGAGTATGAGCTTTAGATGTAACATGATAGCAGCTAAACTTTCAACTATTAACTCCCAGTAAATATCTTTTATCAAGAAGTCTGGTTCATAGACTATTTAGTCACCTTCTTTACAGCTTCACATCAGCCATTAGCTTTAATTCCTGCAAGAAAATAAGTCACTGAAATTTCTGAACAGCCTATGTTGTATTGGTCATTGCAAAATTATTAAAGGTCTAATGGTTTGAATCCACAGTGGAAAGAATTTGAATGGTGGGAGAGCATCCCCTTGGATGTCTGTCCACATGAAAAAGGAGATGGGAATTGCTGTTTTACTGGACATGCTGAAGTCGTATCTGGATGTGACATCTGTCCTTAGCACAGGGAAACAACTTTTACATATGGAAAATGCCTGAGATCAAATTTCAGTAATGAAAAAAATTGAACTCCTGTGTCATAAAAGAGCGGCCACAACAGCTCACTGTTTTCAAAGTAAATATCCTGTGAAAGCTTAGGAATACACATCTCAGAGGAAGCAGTTGGCTTTTGTGATATATTTTCCTGTTTTATTTTAGAGCTTGTGTCTGAATCTTTATTTGCAGAAGCTGACCACAAAAGAATCATGCTGCAGCAGGAGATTAACAATGCAAGCTATGGGGCCAGCATTAATTTCAGAGGGGCTTTCTGTATATATATATATCAGATGAATAAAAAATGGGACTATCTGGTATATTTCTCCTTATTCACTTAATTTTATCATTCAAGTGGAAATTTAAAGTTGTAGCATGTAAAAGCAGATTTCAGATGCCACTGTTTAATCCATTAAACAGAAAGGGACAGAATAATCTTAGCACCACAGAAGAAAAAAGAATGGATTTCAGCAAGCCACACACCTTTCTAAAAATTGTTTAAGTGGCAAACCCCCTTCTCTATTTCAGTTTCAGGCTGCTGATACCTTTGTTAGTCTCCGTATGTGTCAAATTAAAAAAGACAAAGCTGTTTGCCTTTCCTCTTTTCCAAACACAGTTCCCCATAAAAGTGATGCAGAAAAGATGGAGTGAAATGCTCTGAAAACAAGTAATTACCTGAGAAATGGCAATAAAGCTTACCTGGCTAACTTGATTTAAAGCTTCAGCTAGCAACTTCTGGTTTATTCCACATAAGTTTGCCACCTTCTTCTGGCATTTATGATGTACATTCATCCCACATTCTAAGGGAAATGTAAGGATTGTTATAAAAGCATCAGGAAAATACTGATGTTACAAGACACAGAACTGTTCTGTGCAGTTCAGAAACCTTTTGTTTAAGGCCAGACTGGACACGGACCTGTCATTGCTACCAAAATTGCAGTTTTTATCCTTTAACACAATGAAGGCTAAAAAAAGGTTTCAGAAGTAAAAAACCTCCAATCATCATTACTTTATTCTAAAATTATTGTGATTATTCTAGAATCTGTGATAAGCATGACCTTGCCTTTTTGTGGGAGAATTATAAAAGCAATATTTACAGTAAATGCTTTGAACACACTTTGAGATGCTATGTTGAGTCAGTCACCAAATTCCCACTATTCCCAGAGCAGTAATTTTGATAATGCTCAAGATTACACCTCTGCAGTGTTTCCTGACTCCTTCAGCATCTCACCTTGGCTGAGCTGTCCCATGAGCCCAGTGCCTCTGTCTCTCTTTGTACAAAAGCCATCGTACCCGCTATGGACGAGACAAATCCCACCCTACATGATACTCAAAGGCACAGTGTGCACCAACAGCAGTCTCCAGTGCAGGGAGCACTGGAAAAGCACAGAGAGCTGCCAGCTCCCTCCTCCTCCTCACCTTCACACTTGAGCCCTTGCTTGACCAGCCCCCAGAGCAGGCTGCCACAGTGGTCACAGAAGGTGGGGCTCATGTAGTTGTAGACTCGGAAGCGGTGGGGCATGTCGATGTTGAACCTCTCCTTCTGGAACTGAGCACAGCCACAATGATTTCATCTCAGCCTTGCCTCCCTCCCCCAGCAGGGAGATGGATCTGCCCCCCACACAGAACCCACCCCTCACAGAGCTTTCAGCTGCTTTTCTTACTTGAAAGCTTTGCCCACTGCGTGTTACAGAACTTTACACAACTTTAAACAAAGACACAACCTTGGGTTGTACAGCCAAGCATCTCCCAAAATGGAGTTGTCAGCTTCTGTACAAGGTTTTGTTAGTTCAGCAATGTTTAATTATGTAATTACACTCTAAATATATTGTTCCAGCTCTTACCATTGTATCCCTGCTGTTGGCTGCAGTACCAGTACACCTCCCAATGATTTTATCAATGCATTTCTTATGAATAGCAGCATTGCATTCTTCAAGACATGCACAAGAAAAAAAAAAAAGATACCTTCAGATAATAAATACATGGGATGAGGTGTTCACATTTAATGGCAGAATGTGAAAATCACACTCCTTTTGCATCATATTATATACACCAAAAGTTTATTTTCTATCAAGGTAATATTTTTTAAGCTGATTCCCCCACCCCTTTTCTTTTACCATAAACTTTATTTCTAAACTGAATCAGCAATGCCCCTGGCATTTGATAACAGAAGGACAATATTACGCTTTTGAGTTTTACCCTTTGACAGCTCCTCCCTGATTGGAGTAATGCACAGATCTATGCCAAGTCAAAAGTGATTTTCAATTCAGCTGTAAAACCCCTCAGCAGTTGTAATTCACTTTAGAAAAGGTTTAACAAAAACCAGCTGTCATAAATGAGTGCAACTTTTCAACAGCATTGCACACTTCTGAGAACAATAGCTAAGTCTAAATCTTGATACTGAAATCCCAGGTAGGAATCAGAGTCAGATTCCTTTGGTTATTGTGCAAAGTTGATATTTAACATCTACTACTACCCATAGTAATGATGCATTGTGCCATGCATATTTACATATTTTTTTCAAGAGTAACTATTAGATCTCCAGATCCATGTGGAAAGCAGCATAAGTAAAAAAAAAACAAAAAATCAAACAAAAAAACAACTTACGTCTACATTTGTATCCCTGCTTGTTGAGTCCCCTGAAAAACAAATAAAAAAGGAAATCAATACATTTTCTGGAATAAAAGATGGCTGGTTTTTACTTTATTTTAATCATGTCAACCAACCAATAAGCTGGTCTAAATTCTGGAAATCAGAATCCTCTGTTTTAGGAAAGCAGGGTTTAGAGGTCAAGGTCCTGTGTTTGTTAGACCAGCAAATTAGGAGGAAAACCCAGAAACAAGAAGGTTTCAATCACATGGGAAATCCTCCCAACCTAACTTAGGACAAAACCAGCCTTACTATGAAAGGGATCCAACTTCTGGCTCTCTATGGGTCTCTTGTCTGCCATTAATCACTTCACATCTCAAAGCCTGGGCATTATTTTCCCAGACCACCGCCCTCGTTCTCCTGTGACAGAGCTGCTGATGATCATGGCCAGGTATCACTTGATGCTGATGGAATTTCTGCCTATTATTTCAGTGGCAAAAATGTTCAAGCTCTATTTCTCAATGTGAAAGACAACTATAGTTCTTAGGTATAAAAATGCTCTTAGTGAGTATATAACTTCAATTTCCCAACACAAATTTATTTGTCATGTTTTGTCTGAGTGTATATCCGAAGCAAATTTTGCAGTAATTTGGCCCTTGGAGCTGGGGGAGGCTTAGATTTTCTTTCTTACCATACAAAGTCTCTGCAGACAGAGCAAAATGTAGGTTGTCCAAAGAAGGTGGCAATAAATTCATGATTTTTGATGTAGTGGATTTTGGCTTGCTTGATAGCTCCTCTCCTGTTGATAGTTACTGTCCCCTCCTCTTCCTTCATTGACTGTCTGCAGTCTGAGGGGGACACAGCAAGACACACTCTTAATACTTCCAGGTATTACAAAGGTTAATACTTGCTTCTCCCAAATGTTCAGTTTGTTTTTCTGGCTCGTGTTTCTGTTCATTTTACACCTGCATTGTGCAGACTTTCAGTCCAGCAGGGCTGGTACAGGTGCACACACTGCTTCCCAAGGTGTCCCTGTGCTCCTGTGCAAGCCATTCCCACTCCTGCCCAGGCAGAAAAAGCCTTCAGCTAATGAACTGAGAGCAAAAAGCAGGGATGGAGCATAGTTTTGACAGAGAAGTGATAACCACCCTTGTTCCTTGAAAAAAATTAATCTGTGATTTCTGTTATGTGATTTATGTTTACTATGAATAAGTATTTTATTGGAAGCAGGAGGGTCAGCAGAAGCCTTTCCACGCTGCTGCTCCACATGCCCTCCTGAGCCAGGACTACAGCAGAAATTCAGATGAGCTGCTGCAGGACCTTCTGGGTGACCACAGCACCATCCTATGGGAAGATGACTTTCTTCCAGCCTCCAGGATCATTAAGCAGCAAGGACAAATGAGATTTTCAGTTAGACATTTCCATTTTGCTGTTTCATAACAATAATATTTTATCTTTCCACAAGTCTCAGTCTCCTTCCTTTCCCATCTATCCCCATGGAATATTTAGTATTATAATAATACTACCTGCTCCCATCTACTGTAGCATCTAATACTGGATCACATAGAAATCAAGTGTAGCATCAAGCCAAGAAATAAAACAAGAAACAAATTCTCCGGCTCCAAGTCCAGCTGGCTCATACAGATCCTCATTAGAGGTTCTGATTATTTTCATTCATTTCCAAGGAAGCTTCTGAGTTTCTTTTACAAAAATGTGTGTTTGTGGCTGTAAGACTGAGACACAAACTATTTAGTCTTAATTGGGCATTTTTAAAGTCATAGGGGTTTGTAGCAGAGGTAACCCAGTACAGGGGGTATCAAGAGACTGGGTAACTGGTGATGTAACCCAAAAACACCTTTCTTGTCAACAGAAAGGGATTGCTGAAATCCCATCCAGCAGGAAAAGATAAAGGCTTGAGATGGCAAAGAGGAGCCAATCAACTGCTAACTCCATCAGCTCTGGCCAGCAGCTTGTGGGTGCCAGCCTGGAAGAAACGTGGACATGGTTCACATCTCCAAAGTGCTGAAAAGCTGAGGGAAACAGGATCTTGCTGTTTGCAGGCTGGGAATTTCCACAGGAGTAAGGAAAAAAGTCAGAAGAGCATTTTCCCCATTGTCAATATAATAGTTTTTTAAAATTTGCTCTGTTGCATTGCTGCCTTTTATCATGATCAGTGGGAGACTTGCTTTTAGCACTGACAGAAGCAGATTTGTTTCCTCTGCCACTCACTGCAGTTCCTGAGCTTACTACAAAATTACCCAGGAGCTCAGGTTTTCTTGCTGCTAGATGCACTTGGTTCTCCTTTTTTTCACCTGGCTGCCACCACTGCTATTCCAACAGACTGCTGAACCTGGAATACAATCTGTCATGAGACATCATTCTGAGTGTCCTAAACTAACTTATCTGTCACAGCCAGCAGCAGCCACACTGCAGCAGCTGTGTGCTGTCTTAGAAAAGAAATGGCATCATTAGCTCAGAGATTAAGGAAAGATTAAGCATATTAGTGAAAAGAAAGTTTAAAAAAGGCCTCCAGGTTTTGCCACTAGGTATTAATGTACTTTTCTGAGAAATTGACTACCTCGTTCAGAGAAAAACCCATCCTGACAGTCCATGAAAGGACCTTCCAGTGTGCACTGTGACAGTCCCTCAGTTACCCCTACCCCTCCAGGAACAGGACTTGTTTTCCTTGTTCAAACAGGCTGCTAAATTCACCCCACACAAACTCATCAGCTGCTGCACTTCAGCTTGTGGCAGTCTGCAAACTGTGCCATCTCTGCTTAATCGTGCTGAGCAAACACACAGACCTCACCCACTGCTCCCCAAATGCTTCAGGGAAACCACACTTGTGTGGTGCAAGGGAAGCAAAGTGCTTGAGAGGAAACAATATTTCATATTGTTTGCTGCTGTAAAGGATGTCTTTGTAAGCGAGATTTAATCAGTAACAGCAAAAAGCAGAGAAAGGCCTTTTACTTTATGGCAATATTCTGAGATCACCTGTGATGCAGCAAATTACCAGATAAAAGCCTTTCTGAAGTCCATAACACAAGCAAACAAAGTGTTCAGTGAGGAACAAACCTCATGCTGAAATACTTGGAGCAATTTAGCATTGCTGATACTGCGTGCAGAAGTTTCTGACAGAACTTGAGCAATTTATGGGAAACACCAGCGTTTCCTCCCTCTCTGAAACCCTGATATCAAACTTAAGAGAAATATGTGAGACTGACAATTATTTCCTTGAGATGTTAATTATATAAACTGATCACTTTGGGGTTTTTTCCTCTTTTTTTTTTTCACGTTTTCCTTAAGTATACTTTAATGGGGAAGAATCCTTGAGCACAGCAAAAACTCAAAATCTGCATGTGAGGACACACACACTTTAGAACTCAGCTGCCTTGTTAGATGCCTTTGCCAAAACCAACCAATATAACAAAGAATAGCTGAAAACATTTTTGTCTGGTTCAGAAGCAGCTGAGAGGTTTGGAGAGCAGCTGTTAGTCAAGCTCATCTGGAGCTGAGGTAGCTTGGAAATTGTGGCATAATTTCAATTTACTATGGGCATGTTTAACAAGTTATCTTTAATGTGTAAATTGCCTTTAATGTGTATTGCTCCAAAGGTTTTAAGCAGCTCAGCCAATCATGGAATTAACTGGAGAATAAAGGCTTAATTTCAGAGATGCAGAGATAATCAACAATTGCAGGGAAGTAACTTTCACAATAACTGTATGGATGCAGGGTGGAGATGAGTGGGATGGAGAAACACAAAGGGAAAACTTTGCTTCCCCCTCCAAGCAAGTCAGGGTTCCCATAAACTAAATGCTTGTCATGAACCAGTACATGGTCCGAAAGAGCAAGCACAGAACAGCTGAATCAGCAACCAGGATCCAGGTGACCTCTGCAGCCAGGACTTGACATGAATCATTTTCGATGCAGCACACACCATTAAACATAATCTATTTCCTCTGTTGAGAGCTGTGGTTAATATTTATCACTGACACACTCAAGTATTTCAAGGTCTCTTCTCAAAACTTGCAGCTGATCTGACACAAACGCCCAGAACTCTGTGCTGTACATTCAAGAAGAAACCATGAAGCAGGGCTGTGAATTGACAGTGCAGCTCTCCAGACTGCTGTAAACACCCCCTGTATTCTCTGTTCAGCTGCAGTGCCTGTCCTGCTGAACATTTCACTGTCCCCACAGACACACAACACCCAACCCATTGCCTGGAAAACATTTACTAAAATAATATTGCTGGGGCTCTGCTGAGCTGCAATAAATTTCAAGGTGAGATGTCACATTGTCTCAATTGAACCTCAAAAGTCCAAGGACAGAAGAAAACAAGGTAACCCTACTTTTTTTTTTCTTAAAAAAAAATAATTGAAAAAATATTTGCCATCCTCAGAGTTCATTTTTAATTTTAAAGTACTCATTTCATGGTGCTGTTTGTGAAAAGAAAAGATAACAATGCTACTGTCAGAGACTGGGAACCAGAACTTCACTTCAAACAGGCAAAGGAAAGGAATTTTCTGAGCTGGTTGCACAGGCTGAGATTTGCCTGAAACTTTATAATAAATTACAAACCCCACTAACATTTCAGTGTCTGTCTCCTTCTGCTGTTCTGCAGCCTTGCACTTGGCTTTGTTTGAAAGTTAAGTGCATCTTCAGGTCAAGAAAAATATTAATCTCTCAGAGGAATCATTAAAAGGGAAAGCTTGCTCCTGACAAAGGAGATTTTCCCAGCATGAACTGTCTCAGAGGCAAACTGCTCTTCAACCTGGTCCTGGAGAATATTGTTTTAAAGATCACTTGTTAAAAAAAACCTAACCAAACCCAAAACCCCAAGAAACCATTTACAGAAGTTTCCCAAAAGCATTCAGTTCTGTGGCATGAACGTGCATTAAATCATTCTGGCCTGTGTGCTACCCCTCTAAAGAGGCTCACAGGTTTGGGTCAGAGCATTCAGTTCCAAAGTTTGCCACAGGCAGGGGTAACTTCCACTAGACCAGGCTGCTCAGAGCCCCATCCAGCCTGGCCTTGAACAAAGTGTAAAACAAAACACCAGCTTTAACAAGCCCTGCTTTTCAATCCAGGATTAAAACCCAGCCCCCAAACCAAGCACATGGCAGATTTTGTAGTGTTTTTTACAGCTCAGTGTTTTGGCAAATGCTTCTTCAGAGACCTCTGGTATCTCATTTGTGGTGATAAAACCAGGAATTAACTGGAAAATAGGTATTTTTTTTCTTTTTTTCTTTTTCAAATTAGACAGTAAAACCAACCTTTAAAGATACAGCATCTCAATCCAACTCCTACTGAAGGTACCAACTATATCCGATTTTCTGTGCTCTGCACAACACATTAACTACCTTGGGAACCTTGGGAACCACAGCCTGGTATCTATGTAATCACATCTGCAACTGTCTGATTCTCCTAGAGAAAAATCAGAATATAAAGCCTATAGATGTTTTTGTTAAATTCATGCAATCTCACTTCTGGTGCAGATTAAAGCAGATATGAGGTGCCACTGAACAACCTCCACATTAACCAAATTTCTAGAAACAGCAGTTTCTCACTTAAATGATTAAATCATACCAACATCCCCATGTACAATTATAAGGTTCAGTTCTGGCTCTTCAGCCCTCATCACTATTATTCATTAAAAATGTGACCATCCTGCCACAACACACCTCATCCATAGAGACACTTTCTTCAAATCTTACTTTAGGCCCATACAATACACACACTGAAATGGCAAATCCATTGTTTACCATATTATTTTTCACAGATAACTCAGAAAAATGTTGAAGTCTCATGCTTCCCCAACGCTCAACACACAGAGAGCAACATATTCAAAATATATTCAGTTCTCTGATTCATGTCCCTCTCCCAGAAGTCAGACACTTGAGATAGCAAAAGTTCATATGCAAATTACTCACCTTCTGGTACTTCTAATGGCATTTTAAGGAAAAATTGCACTGCCCCTTTCTGCAGGAAGCTATAGCCAGCAAAACAGCAATTCAGAATTCAAACCCAAGACACAAGCACACTCTCAAAGCTGCTAACACTGCACGACACACTCAGGAGAGTGAGGTTCTGCGTTTTCTTACTCAAGGAGGTCATTAACCACGTTTGAATAAACAAAGATCAAGCAAAGCATTAAACGTATTTCAATTCCCACCTATTAAAACTAAAGCTGCTTTACAGAATTATAAGCTAGTTTCAATACTAGAACGAAAGAAAAAGGGGTAGAAGGAAAACAATTTCAAAATGAAAATTGAGGTTAACACCATGTTCTCACATTTCACACACGAGGAGAAAAGCTTTTGAACTTCCAGCACAAGCTCATATTCAAATTACAGGACAGAAGACAAAAAAGTTCTTTGACAACTCTAAGGCAGGGCTCTGCAGTCCCCATTTTATAGGGTCTAGGAAGAAAAAAAACCTTTAAGACTGGTAAGACTTTTCATATGCAGCACTAAATTAACTGGTCAGGTCTCAAGCCTCAATCTGGAAAAAGAATATTCAAATGAAAAGTCTCAGTGTAGTCTACCATGGAAGAACCATTAACACCAGCTTATTTTGTGGGGTTTTTTTCCCTCTAAGAATATATCTGTTAATGGAGCAATAACATTCTGATTTTCCTGCTCTGTACCACTGCAGCAGAGGAAAGCAGTTTTCTCTAAAGGTAGCAGAATGTTTGCTACTGAAAAGAAAGGTTTGAAAAATAGCAGCCTCAGTTTTCAAAACAAGGCAAAGAAAGAATTAGTCTCTTCTGTGAAGTGCTTGGAGATTTTCAAACAAAAGGTAGCACCTATAACTCAAAGATACAAATGGCAGCAATACCTTTGAATAAACCATGGAACAACTGAAATACCAGTTTCAGAACAAGCCTTTTTTAGTATTTTAGAAACACAGCTACCAGAGAGTTCTGTGTGCAAAGGCAGGTCAGAGGGAGAACCAAATGACAAGTGCATAGGAAGGAACGTGAACTGTCTCTGAGCTTTCAGCTGTTAACTGAGGGTTTCAGCAGTGTGGGGAATGGATGTTACACAAACATCCTTGCAGTGCACCAGCAAACCTTTCTGCTCTCACATTGCTAAGTGCTAATTTAACTGGAGAGAACATTTACAGCAGCACAATGATGAGCCAACAATCAGTGTTTGCCTATTTAGCAGCATTACACACTGACATAAGGGAGGTTTACAACCTTGAGGAGGAGTAGTTTTGTTAAAATTTATTGATATTTGCAGTGTTCACATTAAAATATCAGATTGAGTGACTTTCCTCCACAAAATGTAATGTACAAATGTCTTGAACGGCAATGTCTACCACCTCTGTGGTTTAGTTACCAAAAATGTATCAGTGACTAATTTCATATAAAGCAGAAGGTAAATAGGAAGTCATTGCCAAGTAGAAGGTCAAGAAAGTGCATTAAGATGTGAATATTAACTTGCCAATTAGAATATAAATACATGACTTAATGATCGTTTGGTATTTAGGCTTCATCCAGCACCATCTGCAATCCCTAATAAAGGCAATGAAAAGAACTGCAAGAACATTGGATCTATTTTTAAGTTATTTTGATTGCTGAGTAAAATTAATTTAGTACTTTCAGCACACAAGTATATTACCTTCCTACTAACAACTAATAATAAATTATGGAAGGTTTTCACTTATGCTATCTGTACTTTTCCACATCTGTGTGGAGAGGAGAAAATATGCTTCAGCCTCATTAAATAAACAACTGAAAATACAAAAACTGGCTTTGCACAGATTTGCTTGAGAAACTTCTGGATGTCCAGGAGAAATGGATTTCTATATATCTCATTAAATATATATGACCATATTACCATTTCCCCATGAAACAGCCTTGTGCAAGAAACTATGACAAAGACCAAGATAAATATTTTGTAATATAATGGTTCACACCAGTTTAAACACACCTGAGAAAAGCTCTCAGTTACAGCCTCTATTTCAAGTCACAGCAGTTTTTAAATTTTGCTTTAAAGTCTTGACTTTTCATAGACACCAAAGCAACAGGTATATAGGCTGGTTTTTTTGTCATCACAAAGATAAAACATCATCTCTGAAATGTAACCTATGCACATCACATTCTATCTTCTGCAAGATGGTACAAAAATGTATGGTACTTCCCAATGAACTTGTTCTAGAGAGCAGAACTGTGCTCCCTCTATAAATGTCTGGTGGAAAAAATCTAACCACCTAAAACTTCCTGCTTACTCTTTTCAGTTATTTATGAACACATACTATTAAACCTTATAAGACTGGTAGGCCAGGTCTGTCAGACCAGTTATATTATAATTACAATATTATTCCCAAGAAATAATGGTTTTATGACATCTAGTATGGGAAAGTCTTAACTGCAAGCTGAGCAAGTTGTGAGGTTTACAGCATTTCCTTTAGGAAAGGACTCCCCACATACACAAATGCATGCCAAAATTCTTTGTTTTATTATTGTGCTTGAAGCTTCCCTCCTAGCTCATTTCCAAAGAGCCTGTTAAGGTTTCTGACACAGACAGGCTGTTCACTTTTTAAACTGGTAGGTCAGATCATTGACTAGATTTGCATTTTAACACTAAACCATTCACTCATTGCTACAATCAGTTTCTGTAATTAGTGAATAGGACATCTGAATCCCAGGAAACTCAGACCCACTTCTCCAATCCACAAAACAAGTTTCCCACATAAGGTAGAGCAAGAGATTAAACTTGTTTGCACCTAAAAAGGAATAGATAATATTAGCATATAATATATTAACAATAGATTAATATAACATCAAAATATGAGAACAGACATAATAAAGATCCAAAAGTGCCTAAATGCAACAGTATTTCGGAATTAACAAATCCTGCCATGAGTCTGCATAACAAAAAAAAAAAAAAAAAAACCTGGAAAGCAAATTAATAAAATTAATTTAGTAAGATTCTACTCAGTACACCAGGTGATATATTTTTTTGTAAGCTACATCTTGTGTTCTGCAAAAAACCCTCTTTTCTCATAACTGAAAACAAACAGTTGACTTTACCTGCATCTTCCAAAAAATACTGCACAGCCATCAGCACCTTCCCCTGAGGCTGAAGGTCAAGCTGTGGAAAGAAAGATAGCAACAGTAAAATGTGTGGTTGACTGCATCTCTCAGGAATTTAAACAGATCTTTCTAGGGTATCAAAGTGTAGACTATTCAATAACTATTTGATTACAATCCTCTTCCATATCTCACTATTGCAGCTGAGTCAGGAGCTTTTATTCTCTTTCTTTTACTTGTGTGCTGCATTGCTTTGATGTGTCCCCAGGAGTTGAGCATGGTCAGAGTTCACATTGTTTGCTCATGTCCCTTTCCCGTGTCTGCAAAGAAGTTAGCTGGCTTCTGTTTTTACTATTAGTAAACTCAATCTGCACAGGAACCCAGTTTTAAAAGAAGTCTATACAATCCTTTATATGTTTATTCAGAGTACAAACCATAGTGATATCAAATACTGTTGCTGGCAATGAAATAAAGTGGTATAATCAAAATTTATTTTCCTTTCATCCTCAAAACCATTACACATGGTTTCTGTGGCAAATTCTACAGACCAGCAAAAAAAAAAAAGTGCCTTTTAAGCCAACAGCTGAGGTCAGTTCCTATACTCAGAAAGTAGCCACTAATTCTTAAACTGCTGCCTTCATAAAAGATAAGAAACTCTTAACCACGTAAGAGTGACTCAACATTCACTTCAGCACAGAGCAAAGTACCACTGGGTTACACTAAATACAACTTGGGATGAAAAATCCAATCCCCAGACAAAACCAAACCACATTTACATTAGATACACTCGTGAACATATCCCCACAAATCCCATCATCCTACTGGGATAATGAGCGAGTTCAACTCTAAGGCAGTGTCTGACACCCAGAACATTTGCCCAGCAAAGTTTACTGAAGGCCAAGACCTCAGTTACAGCTATGAATGCCAGGCTGTCTCTTCACACACAAAAATAACCTTACAGGCTATGCTAAGGGGTCTCTTTGCTGGTCATGATGCTCTGTCCAAGACATGTCAGGTTGGACAGAGTTTAACACTGATGATGTCAATGTGGTACCTGTTCTATGGATAATAAGCAGAGGATTTGAGACCACTGAACTGGCTAAAACTGATCACTATTAGCTTTTACTTTTCTCAATAATTTCACATCTTAGAAATCAAGGTGTGAAAAAAAACCCCAAGTGTAACAGGTGAATACAAACTAGAGAGATTCTACTGACCACAGAAAATCTGTAAGCCTAAAAGACACAAGGCATTCATTCATCTTGAAAGAAACAAAACTAGGTCAGCAATTTGAGGAATTAATCTCTTTCCTTACCCAGAACTCTGCTTTGCCATTGCCTTTCTTGCACCGTTCTGCCAGCACAGACACCCCCACAGTCACTTCAGACAGTGGCTCCTCTGCTGCTTTCATCAGCACTATCTGGATCACCCGGCCCTCGTAAATGTGGGCATCAAAAGTCGATTTCCATTCAGGATACATGGTGGGTTTCTTCTGAACTAGAGTTTTGCCTCTCTCTGAAAGCCACAAAAGAAAAGAACCAAAACTGTAAAATGTATACAGATCTAATATTTAAACTCAACAAAATAAAAGAGGGAACACTTATACTGAAACTAAAAGCAGATTTACTGCTTCTTTTACTGTTGTTGGAACAAGGTTTAAATGCTCAGTTCAAAAGTTCTTGACATGGAAGACAAAGCCCACCCCAATGAACATGGAAAGACAGTGAAGGGGTTAACATGGAGCTGGAGAGCAGGAGGGACAAACCCTGATATGGAATTCATAAGTTGGTTTAGTCAGTCACAACTTGACAGGGAATACTTGCACGGCTCCATTCTGGTATAAATCTCCATGAAGTGTCATCTGATCATGGTGAATACCTACTGCTATAAGATAAATTAAGATAAACCTCACACTGACCCAGTTTAAATTGAAACCAGTGTCTGAGAGATGAAAGGCTTCACATTTCATTAATCTACTTCCAAGTTATACCAACATTTCACTTGTATTCATAAGCCACTCTCCTTGAGCTCCTTGAGCATTGTGCTCAACCATGACTGCTACTTTTTAAAGGATATTTCAGGGCCTTATCTGCCCTCTGTAGTACATGCAGACCTTGTGTAGTCAAGGAATAAAAAAAGCTAAAATTACCTCAAGAAATGTATTTTTTCTCCCTTATTTTTTCTTTGGTTTCCTTTAAAAGCATCTCAGTTTTGTAAGGAGTTTTACAGTGCTGCACTACTCTTATTAGATGGATTATTTTTTTTTTCTTTTTTGCCAAGAAAGGCTGGATGATCCTTGAAGTCCCTTCCAGCCTGGTATTTTATGATTTTAATACACAGCTTCTGTCTCTCTTTCTACCCATTATACTTATTTCTTCCTGTCTATATCTTGGGCACATAAAATAGCCAGTGACTGCACAATCTGTGACAAGCTTTGGCATATTTCTACATCTGGGTCTCTAAGTCCCATCAACACATCCAAAGTGATGGTGCCTCCTAAGAAACCACATCCAGCTCTTCACTGTGACTCTGGCACACAGTGCCAATTCCCAGTTTTCTTCTGATTTGCTGCCAAGCCAATTATTCTCCATTTGTGCCCTGAATACAATTTTCTACATTCTACACAATTTCTGCTATTTATTGAGATCTTTTTTTTTGCAACAGGAGTGATTCCTAAGTGCCTCTCCAGCTCTGAATGATCCATTTTCTGTTATGATAAAGGCAGTAGTAAAGCAGATTAAATAGTTGGACCCCTCCCCAGGAAGTTGCAGTGTGGTCTGTTAGATATTTAATATTTTAAAATCTTCCTGGAAATTCAAGGCAAAATCAGTGTTCATTCCTTAAGAGCTTGCTGGATGCACTCCTCTCAGCTGTGCTGCAGACAAGCACAGGGAATGATGTCCTTGCACTGCTTTATTAGGGAATGCCTGCCAGCAGCAGCACTGGGAGTTATAGCTTGGACACAGCCCTGAGCCACTTGCCAAAGGACATTCCAAAATGCTCAGAAATGGCCACCTGAGGGCCTCTCCATTCCAAAACTTGAGCATTCCTCCTCTACTCAGTCAAAAGCTTTTCTCTTGAATCTGGGGAACTGTGCAGAAGGCTCAAGCCCTTCACAGTGCAAACCTACTTCCAGAGCCCTGTTCAACGAAAAAAAACTTGAAAATATTGTCACAGAATCACTGAATTGTTTAGGTTGAAAAAGACCTTTAAGATCATCAAGTCCAACCACTAACCCAGCACCACTAAGGCCGTCATTAAACCACGTCCTCAAGTTCCACACATACATATATACTAAGAGATTATTAGGACAGACTATAAAGGTGAGGAGGGGGATAAAAAGCAGGCTGGCTGCACAGCAAGGCTTTTACACTGGCCTGCATTTTGGATTGCTAAAGCCAGACCTCTTCATCAAAAACTCACAGTTCAGGAGGCATCCTTGGCAATAGGAAAAATTGCATATTTTCTGAACCTCTTACAGTAATTTAGGGTTTGCAGAAACAGCAGCAGTTTGTGAAGAGTTGGTAATACTCTTTGTAAGATTCTTAGAAGGGGAAAGAATAATTCCAGTCTGTCCACAGGCCTCTCCTCTCCCTATTCCCATGTCCCAGTTCATACCTGCTTTGATCAGTCAGCTCTATACATTTTAACCCTACATAAAAACAAAAAGAAGGTGTCTCAGTTACTGGAAACAGCCATGCTGTTTTTGTAATTAAAATCATTCTAATCAAGGATTGTCATGGATCACAATCCCTTGTCTGCAAATGAACATTGAAGTGTCAGCAAAGAACAGCCTTCTAGAGCTGTTCCTGCCTCTGCTGTACTCAGGCCTCCTTGGCTTCTCGGCTCGCACTCTTGACTTCAAAACACATCACATGTTTGCAAACTGGCTCAATGCCTAATCATCAAGCTCTATGATTTTCTTCTTCCTATACAATAAATTTTTCCTTGATTGTGTTTCACCTTTCAAATCCAACAAAAAGCTGTTCCAGATCTTGTCAAACTCACAACAGGAGCATTAGATTATTTTCCTGATTACTCAAATCACTCACTTCTCCAAGGAGTTCCATCTCCTCTGCCTTTTTCAGTACGTCAAAGACACATGGAAGCAAAGACTAGAAAATATTGGGACAATTCTACTTTTCAAAAGCAAATGGCTGGAAAAAACCCAGTGGATTTATTTTGATTACTTTCATTTCTCCACATCTTCTGGCAGCTGCAACACCTCCAACACCATTTCTTCAGAGGTTTCTCCCAGCAGATTAGCAAACTACTTCTTTGGAACTAAGTGCATTTCCTGGATGACAACACTTTCTGGAAAAGTTACTTCACCTTGTATTTCAAGTCTTAATGCAGCTTTTACCCTCAGTAATAAGGTTCAACCAATCATGTTGTGAGGAAGAAGAAACTTCATCCTTTTCTGCATTCTTTGATGTTTGTGCATCTCTAGAGCCATAGTGCAGGATTAGAGAGCTGCAGTCTAGCCTAATACAGCAATTCCCTCTCATCCTGTTTGGCTACAGTGGTATAATCTAGCCAAATGTCACAAAATATTATATACCTTTGGACCAGTTTCTGTTAAGATGAGATCTTTGAAGGCTGAGGGCCTGGTGAGTCACTTGGTCTGTTCAGTTGGAGAATACTGAGGGGAAACCTCATTGCAGTTACAACTTCCTTATGAAGGGAAGAGGGGCAGGCACTGATCTCTGCTCTTTGGTGACAGTGACAGAACCTAAGGGAATGGCCTGAAGCTGTGTCAGGGCAGGTTCAGGTTGGATATTAGATAAAGGTTCCTCCCAGAGGCTGGTGGGGCACTGAAGGGACCAGGGAATGGTCACAGCCCTGAGGCTGACAGAGCTCTAGGAGCATTTGGACAGCTCTCTCAGGCACAGGGTGTGACTTTTGGGGATGGTCCCATGCAGGGCCAGGAGCTGGACTCAGTGATCTTTCAGGGTCCCTTCCAGCACAGCTTATTCTGCGTTTCTGTGCTAAGAGGACCTTCAGTGTGAGTCACTTCAAGCAAACAATTCACCCAAAATAAACTGCATCTCTCATCATTACCCATCCTCCAAGCCAATGAAGAGCATTTGCTGCTCTGTGACAGTTCTCAGCTGCAGTCCAGCTCCCAGTTTCCCAATAAGGAAGCCTTGCTTTAAGGTGGGGGTAGAGAAAACAGTCATTATTATTTCTCCCATTGCAAAAGGAAAGCTCACATTGAAGTGCTTGGCATGACAGGAAGAGAAGGACTCACTGCCATTCACAGATTAAGGAGGATTACAGTATTTCTCAGAAACTTACTAATATTCAGAAAAGCATCCCCATTTGCAACCTCACCTGTAGTCAGAGCTTCCTTCATCTTGATAGCACAGAAAGGCTGTAGTTGCTCTCCTTGATTCTGCACAGGTCCCAGCTCAAACGAGTTGAAAGATATCCGTAAAAAGGGGGCCATTGCTCAGGATAATACACAACCTGTGGAAAGAAAGAAATAAAAATCTCAGCATAAAAGACCTGGTCTGAGATATGTAATAAAGTGACATATTTCTCAGCAGCCATCAGAGCTTCTATTGAAGCTACAATCAAATGGTTTCTATTCTTGTATTGCTTCCAGGTGGCAGTTCACAAATCCTAGGATGCATCCAGAGCTAGTGATCCAACCTGTGAGCCTCCAATCCTGCACACACCAGGCAAAGAGAAGAGAGACAGGTGGAAAAAGCTCCAGGGCTACTGTGTCACCTGTTTTAAAGTGTCAGAAATGACAAGAATTCAAAACACCTGTAATTTCTAAGTCAGCAAACAGGTGTTTCATTACAGTCTTCCCCCATTCTTAAGAAATCTTGAATTTAAAGTAGATTTCAGTTTACAACTCACAGCACCTTTAGCAATAGAGTTTGTCCTGTATGTCACATTGTTTTCTGACACAAAAAGGATTTATCCAAAGGCTAAGAGAAGAGTCATCTGGGAGAAAAGCAATGCTAGTGCATTTGGAGAATGAGGGATGCAAGGAAGGAGGGATTAGGAGGAAAGAAATAACAAGGTAACAGGAAAAGATGGTGGAAAAAAAATTAAGATTTGAAATGGGGCTGAACTGGCCTTCTGACTGTAGTTTGCCAACCAGCTCAGTCAAGCAGCATTAGGAAGAACCTTTCAAGCAATCGTGCACATGCTGGCATTTTTTAATGCAAAGACATTGACCTGAGAAACAATTAACATTTCTCTTCTATTTCTGAAGGCCCTTGCAGTCATTTAGATAAGAGACTGAACTCAAGTCTCTGCAGCAAGACAGCATATAGCTCCTGACAGCATCATTTGCACATCTCACACTCTTTATATTTATTTATTTTCAATAAATGGAAACTTTATGACTTTATGACTTTTAGTGAGTTAGGTTTTTTTTAACTGTTTCCCCACTTTATTTCTGTTGAGTAAAACAAGAGTTAGAAAGCAAGTTTAGGATTACTTCACATGACTGCTTATCCCCCTGAAGAACAAAAAGTCTCGAACATAATTCTCATTCACACAGACTCACAATAAAGCAATAACCCTCCCAAACTAATCCACTGCTTATTGCAGCTTGGGGCACTATTTCATGAGTGTGGAGATTGAGGTGACCTCACAAAGAAAGAAAAATAGACAGCTTTTTTAAAAATTAACAAATACCATCTGACTGCTCACTTTCAGAAATGCAACTCAAGCACAATACTCATCAAAAGTTTTAATGAGGAACATATTTTAGCTGCTCAAGAGACCCTGTGCTCACTCTGTTCAGAACTACACCCCAGTGCTCAGCTACAGGACTGGCCAACAGCAGATCACATATCATTACTACTCAACATGCATGTAAAAGAAACCAGATTTCTGGCTTGTTCAACGCTGGGAAACAGCTCTAAGACCTGCTGAGGCCATAGGTAGAAACAAACAGGGTAGGTCAACATGTAGCTGCCGCTGGAAGGTTTATTTAACAGAATCACAGGAGAATTCTGCTGTAAGGGACAGCTTGCCCAGCAAGAAGTCTCAATTTCCAGTAAGCCTGTGACTATATGAACAAAAAATTGGAAAGCATAGACAAAGCCAAACTAACAACTGCACTGATTTCACTCATCCCATGTGACTCAAGCCAGTGTTAGTCCTGAGACAGAATACAAGGACTTACAACTTCGTTTTTTATCTCCAAGTTATCAGATACAATAAAAACAGCTATGCATATACATTTTGAGTAACCCCACCATCTTTCTCATTTCCAATGGCCAAATACATTTGGATGCCATATTTTTACCTCTGCTTCATAGTTTTGAATATGGGTATTTGTTGTAGTTTCATTGGACTCAGCTTCAGTTCACCTCCAATGCTAACTTCTCACTCAGAAATGCTACACACAAGCAATTCAGCAGTTAGGAGAAAATACGAATATACCAGAGTTTTTGATGATGTTCAAAGTCCAAGGCCACAGTGGAAACCAGAAGATAACTGTTTGCTTTTACATTTAATAACAGCTTATAAAGAGCTCAAACAAACTCAGCAGCTGCCTGGTCTTGCCAAGTTTCTCCACTCCTACACATTATGCTTTTTTCACAGAAGCAAACATCTTAAATGCCTGCATGCAAACTATTCACTATATATTGTAGACTACATTGTGACAGAGAGAGCTTAAGTGAGAAAGGAGGGTTTGGATGTGCTCCTCAAATACACTTTCTGATCCTTTCCTATGCTAAGATGTACTGTGAGATAGTTGACAAGCATCAGTTGCACTGCTCTAAACAAAAACATACCGCACTAAAACTGGTTTTGGCAATGAAACTTAGTGAAATAGATTAATTTTAAATCAACAAAGGTTCTCAAAATCCCTGCTGAGTACATTCATGTGAGAACACACTCATGTGAGAGCACATTTGAGAAGAAAAGAACTGAAAGCAGCACACAGGCTTTTCTTGTTGCATTTTAGACAAGAGACTACCTCCAGTCTCCGTGACTGTGACAGAAGTGACAGCACAAGTGCTGACTCTTGTTTTAGGGGCTGTATCTGTCAAAAACTGAAACTGCTGCAAAACACCAGCTTTGAATTGAGGGAGATTGTAAAATCTACTCATATAATCTGCATTGCAGCTATGAAGCATTAAAGCCAAACTGTTTTCCCTAAAGGCCAAGATTTTATCCAAACCAAATGGTGGAAAAACTGAGATGTCAGCTCCAAGAATACTCCAAGTCTAAATGACAGGCTCAATATCTCAGTTTCAAAGTCAAAGTATAATCTGAAAAAAAACAGACCCAAAAACAACACTAAGGGAAAAACACTCCAGTAACATTACCCTGTATGAAGTACCTGGTGGTGGCCACAGTGGTTTAGAGCACACCATCAGATGCTGTCTTGAACAACATTCATTTTGTCAAGGATCTCATATCTTCTCTAATCCAAACTAAACCCATGTTCTATGCCATCTGCGACAGATTCTGCAAAATCCACAGTACTTTCCATTGAGCTTTAAAACTGAGATGTTTAGATTGTTTAGTGTGGAAAGAAACTCAGCAGTGTTATTATCAACTGCAGAGAGAGAGGGGGAAAACTGGAAACATCTTCACATCATCAATGTCAACACCTGCCAGATGAATAAATGTTCAATTTTCACATTGATGTGTTTGTAACATGTAGTTTTAAAGAAAGCAAATATGAAATATTTAATATATTAAATCTTAAATATTCCAAGGAAGATTTTATCAAGATTTGATGGCACAAAATTCAGATTAGATTAAAAACCTTCTCCACAGCAACCAAAAGGATAAAGGGTAAATTCTGCAGCTTCTCTCCCTCCAACAGTGCCCAGCTCTCAGGGGCTGGCAGCAAAGGCAGCGCTTGCCAGGGTTCCTTTGTTGCTGTAATTCTGCCTCATTATAAACAGCGAGGACAAACCAGCCCTAGCACAGCCCAGAAACGAAGACATGGTTGTAACTTTTACACAAAGCAGGAAGGCACATCAAAGCAGTGGATGATGTGGAGGAAAAGCAGTGGATGATCTGGAGGAAACACTGATACTGGCCGACAAAAGAGCACTGAAGAGACTAAAAACCAATAGGCCCAAACAGAGCCAGGCTGTTCCATCACTGATAAGGACCACACATCCATGAGAAATACAACTGAGAAACCCTGCTGGCTTGTGCCTCTGATTCCCCTGTATTAGTCTGAAACGTTTTGCAGATGGGTGTAAAGCTGCAACACATCACGGCTGCTCCATGCCATCTCACAGAACTGCTCTGGTACCATGAAATGCCTGATTCCTGCTTAGCTCCTTGCTGAGGCTGCTTCCAGGGCCACACAACTGCTCTGGGAATCACCAACAGCACCACACACAGATGAACAACGCATTCTTCCCCGAGAAGATGAAGCAGTAACCTTTTCTTCTTTAAGATGCAAAAATATAGATTATATCTAAACTTTTTTATACAAGGGTTTCCTGTACTCTATTCTGGACACGTACAAGTAAGAGAGCAACAAATTCCTGTCCAACTTACTGCCCCCACAGCACTTCCAAACACACAAATAAGGGTCTCTGTGGTCTTCATGTAGAGCCTGCAGAGGTGATTATGTTGCTTGCTTGGCAATCACACAAGAAAGCCTGCAAATAAAGCTGCTGGAAGAGTGATGAGCATCCTTCACCAGTGCAGACTGTGAGTTTTCATTGCTCCCATGTGTGACAACCTGCACTCCCTGCACTTTTGAAAGCTGTATCCTTTCAGCTGATGATCCAAGAGAGAAAAACAGTATCAGTGCTGTAGGTCAATTCACTGAACCAAAGGAACATGGTGTCAACCACTATCTACATTGTACACCTAGGATTAGTCTACAGAGACTTTTTGCAGGTTCTGTTGCAAGCCCTGGCCTTCATTTGATGCTCTGAAGGTAAAAGTCAATCTAAAAATGAAGTCAATTGACAAGAGGCTTATTATATTTGCTGTTATGAACCTTGTCAGAAAGATACATAGCAGCAGCCTTTATAAGCTGGGCTTCCCTAGGCACTACTGCTACCCAAATAAACCCTAAAAAACATATCCAACCTCAAATCACTTTACATTGTAATGATGAACACTCACAGCCACCTGAGATAGCAAAAAAACCCCATCATCCTTATGTGCTGCTTTGAAAGCTTAAAATCCACAGAGGGCTTAAAAAGTGCTCTCCACAAAACAGGGCTAAACTGATATGTTGCATGTAGGGCCCTGCAAAAAAACAAAAAGGAGAATTCTCCATAAATACAGCCACTGCATCAGCATCACTCGTGCTTTTATTGAGGTTTAGCCATTAAGGTACAGCTATCTCCTATGAATGGTTCAATTCAGAAATTAGAATTGTGGGACTATACTCTTGAAAGCAAAATATATGCATCTAATGGTATTTTAAAAGTGCAGTTATCTTCAGAAAGACAAGGATAAAAAGAGTACTTTTAAAACAACCCAATCAAGTAGAATTTCTGCAGTAATAG